ATTTTATTTAGCCATGTATTTACTTTTTCAAGCCATTTATATATTTCTACATTTATTTCCCATTATGATAGGTTCGGTCCTCCATAGAACTATGTCAAAATGCTGCAAAATAGACACTGATAAAAGGGTGAGGTCAGTGGCGCCTGCAAGTGTACGGCTGTATACACTGTGCGTACCTTGAGATTTTCCATTGAGTTACAAAAAAATGTTTTTATAAGCATTTGTCTTTTTAATGATTTTCACTTTTTATTACAAAAATGGTGGACAAAATAAAATAAGAGTGTCTTTTGTCAGAACTTCATGTACATTCATCTGTGTGCGTCTGGGGGTGGGCACATGCATCCGAAACTAAAGTGGTTAGTTTTTGTTTTATTTTGCGGCTGCCTGGGCACTTTGACTGTGCACATTGAAGCTAACTAAACATGAGTGAGCGGACTTTTAAACAGTTAAATCTTGTGGAAACGTCATCATTTTGCCTCGTCCTGTGGATGTAACTGAAAGCAACCTGAGCCAGGAAATCTCTCCTCCAGCGGACACAACTACCTTCTCTCTGCCTTCACCTCGGCACCTCGGCTTCACCCCGCACCTCTCCCCCAGGAGCCCAGCTCAGCAGACCTAACCGCTAAGACAAAAGAGCCGCAGTTAGCTCATTATGATGTTTTTCTTTTTTTGGGAAGGTGAACAGGCTTACTTGTTCACTGGGATAATTAGAACACCCAGCTGCGACACAACGTGTCGGCATGTTATCAGGTGTATCAAGTGTTCAATTTTGTGGTGTAGTTCAGCTTTCATTTATAACAGTGTAGTGGTCAATCTGAAAATAAGTATTTTAAATTGTTATTTAAGATTTTGCTAAGCATTACTGACATGTTATCTTTTCTTATTTATTTTATTTTTTTTACTTTATTCTTATTTAAAATCAAGTAATTCAAGATTAAAATTTGCACTCACCAATAGCCAGATGGTCTGTGTCCAAAACACTTCATCCTCTGCCATTTATTTAGCTGCACCACCTTCACCACATTAGCCCCGTTGTCAATGGTTACAGCCACCAGTGCTGCCGGGTTGAGCTTCCAGCTAGTGAGGACATCCTGCAGGGCTTCAGCTATATGCTCTCTCCTGTGTGGTCTTGGTGGAAATAGTTGATCTGGAGACATGCACTTTTCAGTTCCCAGTCTTCAATGAAATGTATGGTCACACTCAAGTACGGCTCGCAGGTCCGTCTGGACCACATACCGGTGGTCAGTGCGAAGTGAGACAGTTTGGGAAGCTGGTTGACGAGACGCTCTCTAACTTCAGTGTACATTTGTGGAACAACTTCTCTGGCAAAATAATTCCTACTCGGTAACTCGTATCTTCTGTCAAGGACCTTTAGCAGCTGTATAAAGCCATCTTGTTCCACAGTTGAGAGCAGGACCATGTCTTTAGCGATATGATGTGCCACAGCCTTAGTAATCTTGTGCCACTTCTCACTTTTTTTTTCATAAGGCACTGCACAAGTATATGCGTTTTGTAACGTGGTTTGTTTCGGTGCAGGAGGCTGGGAAGAGTTCACAGTTTGAGCTGCAGHACGCAGTTTCACACACTCTTCGCATTTCTTTTTTATGGCGCTGTTTTAAATGGTGGAAAAGATTTGTAGTCCTCGAACTTTTTGTCGGAACTTGTTTTCGGCATTCTCTACAAAATACGTCTTTCTGCTGCTCATCTGTGATTTTGAATCAGAACCATCTCCAAATGAGTAAAGGGCTCGACACACGGGAGGCGACGCCGCTCGCTATCCATTCATTTCCTATGGAGCCTGTGCGGTGAAGCGACAATCGCTTGCCCTCCTCCAGCTAAGTGACCGGCGAAAATAGTGCATGTGAAATTTCGCCCTCGTACACGTAGACGTGCACACGTGAGCTTGCGACGCGACATATGAAAGTTGAAAATAGTTCAACTTTTGTTGCTGTCGCTTAGCGTACAACCAATCAGCGAGGGTTTCATTGACTGACCAATGAGAGGAGAGTATGCTACACACTGCCGTTAGCTAACACTTTCACCAAGKGATTACTAAAAAGCTTTGTGTGAATTTATTGACACCAGGGTGAAGTTTATGGTAAGTTTTTCCTCATAAAACAGTATCTTGATGTGTGTTTGTTTTTCAATATCATTAGCATCGCAAGATTTGTTTAATTTACACGTCCGTAATGCACATCCGCCTTCAGAGTCAAGAACCAATCAAATTTTGTGAAGACAAGCAATCTGAGAGCGTGATTCGCAACGCTGCGATCGCTATCCCGTCCCATGTGTCGGGTTTCACCCTGGCTGCGATGACAGCCGTTAATCGCTGTAGTTTGTCGCTGCCCTTGTGTCGAGCCCTTAAGCCATTGTTTTTCTTTTAGCTCACCAGGTGCTCTTCGATATCCTCTCCCGTGCTCTCACTCTCACCTTCCATCTTGTCGTGGCTGTTTACACATGCTAAGCTTCCTACTAGCTTAGCTAGCTGCCGGAAGGCGCCTAGGGGAGGGGTGATTTGTCTTCAGAGTGGGAAGGAGGAGGGGCCGTGGGAAGTTCAGCACAGACACAGAATTGGCGGATCTAAAATAATAATTAAAATGCAATGTAGACCATCTGAATATAAACGATATAGTCTCGTCTTGTATCTCTTTTGAAAAAATCTCAATAGTTTTAAAATCTCGAGATATCGCCCAGCCCTATACGGAGGGGCGCAAAAAATAGCTCTCAACTTGATTTGGCCTTATAAAAATAACTACATGCTGTGAAATTCTTGGAGGGGCGGGCCGTCTCGTTGGCGGGGGGGGGGGGGGGTGCCCCCTTTAATGGTAGGGGAAACTGGGTCTGGAACACGCTTGAATTTTGTTCATATCTGAAAAAAATTGGGTGAATGCCACAAATTCTCCTAAATCACTCATACGCACAACTTAAGAACAAATCTGTTCGTACGCACGGTTTTTGCATGAGGCACAATTTTCTTGCACCAGTTGTTGTTGATATGGTGGGGCGGCTGTGGTGGAGTCGTCCTGGAACAAGAAGGTCGCAGGTTCGGTCCCTGTCCAGCTGTCTCAGTCGTGTCCTTGGGCAAGACACTTCACCTGCCTTGCCTACTGATGGTGGTCAGAGGGTCCGGTGATGCCAGTGCACGGCAGCTGTGGCTACAGTGTAGTTTGCCATCCTCAGTGTGTGAATGGGTGAATGTAAGTGTAAAGCACTTTGGGGTCCGGAGGGACTTGATAAAGCGCTCTATAAGTTCAGTCCATTTACCATTTACCATATACAGTACACACAAACACCCACTTCTCTGCTCTTACCAGAGTCCATTGTCCTGTAGCCGTGCTGTGTTGTGTAGCCAGTTAGCCCAAAGGCCGAGTCGGGTATGCGTTTTTTGAGCCATGTTTCCATGATTGCCAGCACACAAGTGTCTTTAACGATGCCGGATGTTGTGATCTGGAGCCTTACTTTGTCTATTTTATTGACAAGGGATCCGGGGTTAGCAAGGATAAGACTGGGGAGCAGAGGTTTGTGAGGCTGCCTCCAAAGCCTAATCAGTACACGGCCCTGCAGCCTCGGTTCTGCTTCCTCTTTCTACGCTGCCTCCGCTGTCTGCTGCCGAGGATGAGAATCCATGTAGAGCCGGGAGTTCTCGTAATCTCCACTGTGATGTTGTGAGTGTGGGTGAATTCAGCTGTAATATAAGAAGCCACACAAATCACCAGCAGGTTAGAGCACTGAGCCACTGTGTTCCTGCGAGTCGCCAACTTGAAACTGACAGTCTGAACTAGGGGTGTAAGAAAATATCGATACACTGAAATATCGCAATATTTCATTTCCCCGATACTGTATCGATATTCTAAAGCCCTTTATCGATTTTTATTAAAGGAGACATATCATGCTAAATGCACTTTTTTTGCCTTTATAAACTATTTTTTATGCAATTATAGTGTCTAGGAGTGTAGAAAACATTAATTTATTCTGTTCTGTTACTGCAAAGATATTTTTATATATTTTTATGGGTCATATTTTTCAGTTTGTTCAAAATCTGCTGTTGCTTATTACGTTTCATTGCTTATTTCGTCACACTATTTCTTTTAGGAACTACCATATATGGTMATGTATTTCCTGCCAACTGGATTTCATAGTCCGCCATTTTTCCCCCCGCTGTATGATTTTGTAGTCCATAGCGTCATGCTGACTATGCAAGTCCAGAAGTCAAAATGTTCDGTTCTGGGTGTGTAAACCCACATTATTATCTACATAGACTACCAGCATCAGAGCAGAGCTTCTTTAAAGTGCCYGGTTAAGTTTCATTTTTCAAGGAAATGGACCCACAGCAGGGCAGAAAGTGCTTGCAGAAAACAGAGGAGGAATGTTACAAAAAGGGTGAGTTATGAACTGTAAATGTGTTTTAACTGTCTAATTTAGCTGTTTCTACCCTCTGTGTCGGAATATGAGTGGAGAAAAAACAGCTGTTTAAGTGTCTTTACCGAACTCAGCACCTTTTTACTTTCACTTTTGCCCTGCGCACTGTAATCAGCCTGTCCGTGTTGTTTTTCTTTTTAAAAATGCTGGAGCAGGATGAGTTATGAACTGTACATGTGTTTTAACTGTCTAATTTAGCTCTTTCTACCCTCTGTGTCGGAATACGAGGGGAGAAAAACAGCTGTTTAAGTTTCTTTACGAACGGGTGCCCAGCACCGTGTTAGTTTCACTTTAGCCCCGCGCTGTAATCAGCGTGTCTGCGTTGTTTTTAAATGCTGGAGCGTTTCAAAGTGTGATCTAAAGTTAACATCAGCTGTTTTAAATGTATTTTTTGACTGGTGTTAAAAACGGGAGAAGCAGAATGAGGCAGAGAAGCTGTAAGCGCTGTGTGTGATAAGTCCTCATAAGGATAGCAAGATGGATGTGTGCCTCTCCTTTTTTTTCGCTGTGTTGCTGTGTTTGCATCAAAAAAGCTGGGAACATAGTCATTTTATRTAACAAAATATATTAATCTTATTAATATACAGATAAAAACAGAATATTTAGCACTAGATATAGGCCTGTCACGATAACAAATTTTGCTGGGCGATTAATTGTCTCAAAATTTATTGCGATAAGCGATAATATTGCCTGGTGACCGTTTTACAACTAATAATTATAAAAGCGTAATGTGTAAGTGTAATAAATCAATAAACTTTCATTTTTAAAAGAATGTTTAACAAAGTGGAC